GAACCGGGGTCTGCAGCCCACTAGGAACTGGGCAAGCAAGCAAGGAAAGCCCCATCTGTGCATGTGCAGGATCCAGGAAGAGTGCAAAACCACACTGTGGTTTTCTGTGGAAAACCCACCCTCCATGGAACTGGTCCCTGCCACCCAAAGGTTTGGGTGCTGCTACCCTAGAATATAAATTGAGATCAAACAGCCTTCCTTACTGGTCCTGCGTCTCAAAAATGTGCAGTTGCATCCAAGAAAGAAGGCAAAAACGGCCTGCCACTCATTGTCTATAAATGATCTTGCCAACATTTTCACCCTCAAGGGAATAAAGGATTTTAATAATCCATTCCATGATATCCAGCAGCTTCCCCCCCCCCAAAAAAAGGAACTGCTACTGGAAATCTTCTGTTAACTGCAGTTAGGCTTGGGGTCAGTCAGCTTCTAATCAGAGCACTTGTTAATTCCAATTTGGTTTGCAAGAATGCACGCAGAGCTCTCTACAGTCCCTTCAGGAACTGTGGTTAATTTCCTTTTTGTCAGCAGCCCAAGAGTCCTTGTAAGATTGCAGGGGGATATAAAAGTGATAAATACATAAACAAGCAGGAAGCAAAACTGAGGATCACATAGCGCTAAGGATGGAGGAATCATCCATTTTACTTTCTTTCACAATCAAATGTCTAGGGTTGATCCCCCATTTTTGAATGAAGAAATGTGTTGGTTCTTTTAATCCTTGACCAAAGAGGGGAAAAAATATCTTCTGTCTCCCATCATTAAAAAGAGGGTCTTGCACACATTAAATCCAGAGCCTAATCATATAACCTGGGATTTTTCACTAGTCCAATGAATTGATAAGATTCATAAAGCTTGATCCTTGCAGCTTTCAATTGGTATCAGAGTTGTGCAAACTGGATCTAATTTGGATGTTCATAAACATTTGGAAAATTATTCTTATTTACCTAGGATGCCCAAATCTTTGGGATAGGATAGGATAGGATAGGATAGGATAGGATAGGATAGGATAGGATATGGAATGAAATAGAATAGAATATGGAATGAAATAAAGTAGAGTAGAGTAGAGTAGAGTAGTGTAGAGTAGAGTAGAGTAGAGTAGAGTAGAGTAGAGAGTAGAGTAGAGTAGAATAGAATAGAATAGAATAGAATATGGAATGAAATAGAATAGAATAGAATAGAATAGAATAGAATAGAATAGAATAGAATAGAATAGAATAGAATAGAATATGAATGAATGAAATAGAATAAAATAGAATATGAATAGAATAGAAATAGAATAGAATGAATAGAATAGAAATAGAATAGAATAGAATAGAATAGAATAGAATAGAATAGAATAGAATAGAATAGAATAGAATAGAATAGAATAGAATAGAATAGAATAGGAAGGGACCGTGGGGGTCATCTAGTCCAACCACTGCTTAGGCAGAAAACCCCATACTCTGCATTGAATTTGATTCATTTCTGGACCACTAAAACACTTGTGCAAAAACCCTTTAATTTAGTCTTTGTTACAACATCATTTCAATCAACCCCTGTGATGCTCCATAGATGAAAAATATTTATAGCAAGTGTAGCCAATACAAGCTACAACATCTCTACAGGTGTCTGTGGACATTTGTAAGGTCCCATTTGCCTAATGAGTCTTTTATTACTTTAACTACAATAAAAAACCCTCCCTTTTTACGACCCTGTAATCCCTTAATTTGGCATAGAATTGGGGCGACTGGATGGAGCTGAGCCTTTACTGGCCGGATGCCCTTCCTGATGCCTACGCAGAGTTCACAGCAAAAAAAAAAAATTTTTCTTTGCATTCTAGGAGAGAAATATCTGCCTCCACCTAGGATTAAACTCTCAAATCTTCCGAGAAGGTGGCAAACATCTTCACCACTAGGCCACCAGGCCACTCTTCATTGCTTTAACCGCAATATTAGGTGAAAAGCTTATGCTGAATTGTAAACTCATCTTGAAGTCAGTGAACGGTACCCAAAGCCAAAACTAAGTTTTAATTCATAAACCTTTGAATATGTGTAAAGCCAGCTCCTCTGTACCTCTATCCTAACACCATCATTCTTTTCTTTTCCTCTTTGAATCACTAATCCCTGTCCAAGAAGCAACTTCATCCTTCGTCTTAGTGCATAAACACCCGACTGTGAGTTAAACACAAACCAGAGATGTTTGGCGTATTGTTGGAGGTTAGCAAAACCCATTTTCCCTTTAGCAATTAGATCATTAGGATGAATAATTCAGGACTCTTAGATCTCCCATTTCACTGTAATAGCAATGCTGGTATTTTATAGATATATTTTTCCCTTCCTTTCTCCTTGCCGTATGTCCCAGCTCACGTTACCTTGCTTGGATATTCCACTTCCTTCCTTTGGGGTGGGGGTGGGGGTTGCAGCTCTGAAACATTTATCAAGTTGGCTGATAATGTCTTGAGTCCCCTTTGATCGCCTACAAGAGCTCTAGAATAACAGTCCATTCAGAAAGATGAACAGGCTGAAACAATTATTCAGAATTAGAGGGAAGCAACACACTGCTTGAAGAATGGAAGTATTTGCGAATAAAGAGGAGGGGAAATCAATCTAGGAAACTGCTTCTTTTTATATTATTGAAGATGGGATCTTGAAAGTGGCCATAGTTATTTGCAGAAAGAATTCTTTCTTTTTCTTTCTTTCTTTCTTTCTTTCTTTCTTTCTTTCTTTCTTTCTTTCTTTCTTTCTTCTTTCTTTCTTTCTTTCCTTTTTCTTTCCTTCCTTCCTCCTCTTCTTTCTTTCCTTTCCTTCCTTCCTCCCTTCCTTTTTCTTTCTTTGTTTCGTTTTCTCTTTTTTCTTTTTCTTCTTTCTTTTTTCTTTCTTTCTTTCTCTCTTTCATTTTTCTTTCCTTCCTTCCTCCTCTTCTTTCTTTCTTTCTTTCTTTCTTTCTTTCTTTCTTTCTTTCTCTTTCTCTCTTTCTTTCTCTCTCTCCCTCCCTCCTTCCTTCCTTCCTTCCTTCCTTCCTCTAACACGATTCCACCAGTTTATTTCAGGGAAATTCTATCTCTGCGGACTAAGCTTGACATTCTCCAATCCAGAAATTGAGGTCTATCAGAAGAAGAAAAAAATTCTGAGAGTGGTACCTCGTGTAGATTATCCTCCCCATTTTCATGCACTATATTTTTTTGGATGAGATGTGGTCTCTTTCTCTCCAAAATCCTTCCCTTCATCCTGCTCTTCCATTCTTCTTCTTCTTTTATCTTTCTTCCCCTTCTAGGCAATTAAATTTGCTCCAAGTCATTTATTTTTAAGTGCCTGGTATTTTAAAAAAAAAAAAAAACAGCCGCTACCAATTCTCTAGTTCTGCTCTGCTGAGATGCAAATGATAAACAGAGTTGTTACTTTGAAAAAGCTTTTAAGGGGGTTTAAAGACCTGAAAGATTTATTTATTTATTTATTTTCAAAGTATTGTGGACTCTTTTGTCCAGCTTACTTTGAGCGTTCTGTGCCTGCTGTGAACACGGGTAGCCCTCGACTTAGGATCCCCACTGAGCAATATATATATATATATGTGTGTGTGTGTGTGTGTGTGTGTGTGTATGTGTGTGTGTTCTTAAGTGAGACAGCTGTTAAGTCGGTTTGGCCCCATTGACTGGTCAGAAGTTTGCAAAAGGTGATCACACAATTGTAGGACACAGCAACGGTGGTAAGTATGAACCAGTTGCCCAGCATCTGAATTGCAATCCCATGATCATGGGGATGCTATAGATCAGACATGTCAGACACAAGGCCCAGGGCCCGGATGCGACCTGCGAAATGGTTTCATGTGGCCCGCGAAGCCATCCTGGAAACAATAAGGGAACGCCCCACCCCTGCCTTGGCCCTGACCCAGGCCAGCTGGGAGCCAATGTATAATTTTGTGGTGGCCATCTATGCTGAAACGCATCCAGTCTTAGCTCCACAAGGCTGTCTAGAAACATTGAGGAACCAGCCCCTGCCGCGTCACCCCCGCCCCCTGGGTGCATGCTGGGGAGGTGTCACCCTTTGTGAGGATTGAAGAAATGGACCATGTCTTGGCGCTTGCCCCGGTCCCACCCCCTTCTGCCAGAGACACTCAGATCTGTCCCACTCCTGCCCAGGCCCCCACAGGCACCCTTGACACGAACGATGTAGAGCTGGCCATGCCCACCCAGTGGGCCACACTCACTCCATCCACGCCCACCCAGTAGGCCGCACCCACCCTGGCCACACCCACCCAGCCTCCTGAGGGCAACTGCAATGCTGATGCAGCCCTCAATGAAATTGAGTTTGACACCCCTGCTATAGAGGGTGGTACTGGTGATTGGTGAGCATTTGCTTGAGGAGGATACTCTTGCTGCGTTCATCCACGCCCAGCAAAAGGAACTTGACAAGCCGCTTGACGTAGGTTTTCTCACGGTAGAGGCACTTATCAATCTCTTTAGACCACTGCTGCTGTTCGGCCTCGGTGCTAGTCAGCATGCAGCCGGGAAGCAGCCTGACAGCGAGGACCACGATGGCAGGAAATTGTTTTAACAACCCTGCAACCCTTTTTATCAGGGATGGAGTCAGGGCGACTGAATGGAGCCAAGCATTTACTGGCCGGATACCCTTCCTGACGTCTATGCAGAGTTCACAGCAGATATTTGGTCTTTGTGCTCTGATAGAGAAATGTCTGCCAGCTGCCTAGGATTGAACTCTCAACCTTTTGAGTGGGAGGTGAGCGTCTTTATCTCTAGGCCATCGTGTTGGTCACCTTTAGCTACTAGGTTACTCCAACTAATAAATATTCTATGTGTGAAGCTGACATACACCCTTTGGAGATATGTCAGCTTCGTATTATCTTTATAAAAAGGAAATACAAAAAAAAAAGGGCAGTTCTGCTTATAAATGTATGCTGGGCACATCAGCCTTTCAGGGAAAAAGTATGTCTAGAAATTCACCATCACCCAGAGAACAGATGGGTGAAGGACCTTCAAACATCAGAATGCCAATAAAGATTATTTTTACCATGGAACCAAGGAGCGATAGTGTCGGAGTTCCTTTCCAAGCCAGCCCGCCGTGGAATCTGTTCCTCTTTGAACCACTGAATTATGACTTCTCTGGACAAAGGCCTCTGGGGCCATTCCCAAGCTTTGCTGTATTAAATTAAGAAGAAATAGAGGTTAAAACCACACTGAGAAGAGCTGCACAAGAAGAAGAAGAAGGCAAAAACTGCATCGTAGTTCCAAAATAAGAGGGACTGGGAAAAGAAGCTAGACAAGACATTTTTCGTTCTGTTCACAGAAGGTGCCAATAATACTTCCCACCTTCTGTAAGCAAAGTGAAGCTGTAATTGGGTATTAAATCTAGACCCAAAGCAAGTCAGGAGTGGGCAAGGTCACCTGGGGAATGCATTTTCAGCATTTTGAATAAGTCAGTTTTGCTATTCTTCCCATCCCAGTGCTTTTGAAATACGAGGGCTGGCTGGCGCTGATTAAAGTCAAGCTAAGGAGGCTGTTTAAGGATGGATTCATAGCGACAAGGAGGTCTTGGCTGGTGGGCAACAGGGGAAATAACGAAAAGCAACAGCATCTGAAAAGAAACGCTTTCCAAAAGCCCAAAGCTGCTTTTTTTCAAGAGGCAACTGAAGCTTGTCCACCCCAAGGATAAAACACCCAGGCGCAAACTAAGCAATGTGACATATGCACTACGATGCAGGGAGCCCTGTGCAGATCCATACATTGGGGAAACAAAAACAACAACCATTTCATAAATGCCTGGCACAACATAGGAGAACAAACTCATCAGGGCAAGATTCAGCAGGCCATCTGCATTTAAAAGACAGTGGCTGCTCTTCCGAAGACAGCAAAGTCCACTGTCAATGCTGCTAATATTGAATATTCTTGCTTTGACAAAATATGCAGAACCTGTCTGGTATTTTTAGAGTTAATTCAGATGACAGAGAAAGGGGAGGAGAATTATAAGGAAAGCGCGGGAAAAGGAACGGAAGTGAATCTTTGCCCTCCAGGTTAATTGGAAGATGTGCATCATGACCCCAAAATAGGGGAGGGGAAATGCCTGAAATGTTATGTGCAAAGGAAGGGAAATTCAGATCTTGGCATCCACCAGGCCATGCTGATACCCCTCTACACTAATAAAAGGGTTTTTTAGGTTAAACCATGCCTGAAAGTTCTTTGAAGTGTTTCATTAATCATTAGTTCTTTGAAGTGTTTCATTAGTCATGACATCCACATTTTGCACAGAGAGGACCAAATGGTTTGAAAGAGGGGTCAAAGAGGCCATCTATGACAAAACTGAACAGCCCTCTCTCGACAGAGGGGGAGGGATACGACATCATCTATCTCCAGTCTACAACTCAGCCCTTTCAGCAGTTCCAACAAGGCTCCACACCTGTTTGCACCACTCAGGTGACCTTGAGGCCAAGTGGCCTCAACGACGCTCTAAGAGAATTCAAATGACCAGCTGTCTGCAAGGAGTATAAATCCTTCCCTTCCCCACCATCCAGTCAGAGCTGAAGAAGCTTCTTGGATGAGAAGTGAAACATCTTCAAAGAAAAACAAGAAAGTCCAGTTGCCTCCTGAAAAAGCACCTTTGGGACAATGACCTGGATGACTGAGAATCTCCACAGACATCTTTCTAAGAGCAGCGGGTAACAATTCTGTATCTTATATTTATTTGTTTGTTTGTTCAATTTCTATGATTGGCCATCTCAGTCAATGATTCTGGGGTGGCTTACAGCTCATAAAATATATTACATCTCTCTCTCTCTCTCTCTCTCTCCCTTCTTTCTTTCCTTCCTTCCTTCCTTCTTCCTTCTTCCTTCATTCCTCCCTCCCTTCTTCCTTCCTTCCTTCCTTCCTTCTTCCTCCCTTCTTCTTTCCTTCCTTTCTTTCTTTTTTCCTTCCTTCCTTCCTTCCTTCCTTCCTCTCCCTCCCTCCCTCCCTCCCTTCTTTCTTTCCTTCCTTCCTTCCTTTCTTCCTTCCTTCTTCCTTCCTCCCTCCCTCCCTCCCTCTCTCCTTCCTTCCTTCCTTCCTTCCTTCCTCTCTCTCTTCCTCCCTCCGTCCCTTCCTTCCTTCCTTCTTCTTTTCCTTCCTTCCTTCCTTCCTCCCTCCTTCCTTCCTTCCTTCCTTCCTCCCTCCCTCCCTCCCTCCCTCCCTCCCTCTCTCTCTCTCTCTCTCTCTCTCTCTCTTTTGAGCTCTGACACTAAAAACAAAATGCAGCTGAATCGAAAGAGATGTTACCTAGCCTGGCAATGAAATGTTCAGAAACCAACCCACAAGCTCAGAGAACGAACCTTCACCCTGACTGATGATGTTACTTGGTTTGGGTAATGAAACATCTGCAAGAAAACAGCTCAGCTCCCGGAGAACTAAGGACCCCACAGTTCAATCCTGAGCTACCAATATTCTCTTTTCAATGAAACAGGAACGGGAAAGAGAGGTGATCAATACAACAGGCAAGAAAAGCCTGCCCAGTGATAATTTCTCTGTCCACTACAGCTTAGGAAAACCAACAGGTTAAAGACTTTGATTCTGCACTCGTTCTTATAGGGTGCAATCCACTCAGACACTCTGCCAGGAAAACCCTTGTGCTCTTTCGGAGACAGTAATAGTATCGTTGGGACTATCCATGTCCCCAGGCACTTGAGAGGTTTCAATTTGAAAAGGAACCATCTGGAGGGAGGTAAAAAAAGATGTTTAAAATTAAGAATGGTGTGGAGAGACCAAGATACAGGGAAACAGCAGCACTCTCTAAATCACACATCTGAGATAATAAGTGGTGAAAGAGACAGAGAGCACAAGGAGAGAAAACTGACAGTTGAGAATGCATTGCTGCAGTTAAGATTGTGCTGGCCAGGAGCAAAAGCTCTTTGGACAAGAAAGTATCTTGAACACAGGTGAGTCATCTGGCTATTGGGGGGGGGACAGTTAGAAGGACCATTTGATTCATCAGAAAGTTAATCTACCAACAGAAGTGAATATTGGTAGCTCAAGATGGAACTGGGGAGACCTTGGTCTTTCCTGAGCTTGTTTGTTTGTTGGTAAAATTTATTGGCCACCCAATTTTTTGGGGGGAGGGGTCACCATATCACAAAAAAAGATGTTAGGAGTTTGAAAAAAAAATCAGAGAAGAGCAACTAAGATGATCCAAGGCCTGGAGGCTAAAACATAGGAAGAACGGCTGCAGGACTTGGGCTTGGCTAGTCTAAAGAAAAGAAGAAATAGGGGCAACATGATAGTAGTATTCCAGCATTTGAGGGGCTGCCACAAGGAAGAGGGGGTCACGTTATTCTTCAAAGCACCAGAAGGCAAGACAAGAAACAATGGTGGGAAACTGACCAAAGAGAGAAGCAACCTGGAATTAAGGTAGAAACTTCCTGACAGTGAGGACAATTAACCAGTGGAACAGCTTGCCCCCAGAAATCGTGGGCACTCCATCACTGGAAATTATAAAAAAAAGAGGCTAGACAGTCACTTGTCTGATATGAAGAAAAAGCTTCTTGGATGAGAAGCGAAACGTCTTCAAAGAAAAACAAGAAATTCCAGTTGCTTCATGAAAAAAGCACCTTTGGGACAACCATGACCTGGATGACTGAGAATCTCCATAGACACTTTCCTTATGAACTTCCTATGCAAGTCTATTTTACGGATTTTTTTTTTAAAAAAAAAACCTTATAAATCCTATAATTTAGCAACATTTCAAACCAAATCATCCTTCAGGTCCAGCTCAACCCAAACCCACATCCAGGTGGGTTTCCTGACCAGACAATGGAAGGGGGTTGACATTGCCTTCTTATTTACATTTAAGTGTTGTTTCCAATGCCCCGTCTACCTTTTTTTTTTTTTTTTTTTGCCTTCACATCCTAATAGGGACTCTTTTGAAAATTCACAAAACAGCCTTAATTGTCTTTCCTCGTCTGAAGTGCACGTTTCAATTTAGTTATCCTTCCGTTCTTGCCCTTTCGTGATGTGTCACTTCTTAGCTGACAGATGCATAAGCAACGTGCCTATTTTTAAATAAGATCTAAACTATTGATGAAAGTGGACAGAATCGACATTTAAATCTATGCATCCAGAAGGGAAGCAGACTGGAAATAGATGGATGACTCATCTCATTCTTCCTCAGCTTCTTAATTCATAACACAGCAACTTGGCTTCCTACAGTGGCCATCGGGAAATTTAATTATAGCAGTGTTCCAATATCTCAGGGGTTGCCACAAAGAAGAAGGGGGGGGGAGTCAACTTATTCTCCAAAGCACCTAAAGGCAGGACAAGAAGCAATGGATGGAAAAACAATGGATAGTGAAGCAATGGATGTGTTGCATGAGAAAAGCACATCTTCCTTCCCCTGTCCTTACCACTATCATACAGCATCACAGTCTATTCTATTCTATTCTATTCTATTCTATTCTATTCTATTCTATTCTATTCTACTCTATTATATGCATTCTACTCTATTCTATTCTACTCTACTCTATTCTACTCTACTCTACTCTGCATTCTATTCTATTCTATTCTATTCTATTCTATTCTATTCTATTCTATTCTATTCTATTCACATTCCATTCCATTCCATTCCATTCTATTCACATTTCATTCCATTCCATTCCATTCCATTCCATTCCATTCCATTCTATTCTATTCTATTCTATTCTATTCTATTCTATTCTATTCTATTCTATTCTATTCTATTCTAGGGCCATCTCTTCTTTCTTTAAATCTCCCATCAAAACTGATTGTGTCCTACCCATTCTTAAACAGAAGTAAACTTGTGGCTTTTTTTCCCCCCATTCATGTTTCACTGTCAATGCTACTGGTTGTCCAGCACCAAACCTTAGTTGTCTATAAATCTATACATCAATGCAATGAACATGAATTTGGTCAAACTCCATGAAGTAATGGAGGACAGCAAGGCCAGGCATCCTATAGTCCATAGGGTTGTAAAGAGTCAGACATGACTCAATGACTGAACAGCAATAGAGTATCTCTCCACATAGAGTTATCTAACAATATGCAAACAAATAAATTATTCAGTTTATCTGTCCACTGAAATTCAACAATTGGAGTCCATTGACCCAATAGGACCAAATTCTCCTCTTTCTACTTCTGCAAGCACAGAATCCCCAGTTTCCTGGAGTAGGTTTAGCTATGAGGATCACAATAGCAATGGCACTTATCTTCACAGTGCTTTACAGCCCTCTCTAAGCAGTTTACAGAGTCAGCATGTTGTCCCAACACTTTCTAAGCAATTTACAGAGTCAGCCTCATACCCCCAACAATCTGGGTCCTGTTTACTGACCTCAGAAGAATGGAAGGTTGAGTCAACCTTGAGCCAGTGAGAATTGAACTGCCAACTGCAGGCAGCCAGCAGGCAGCAGAAGTAGCCTGCAGTACTGCATTCTCACCACTGCGCCATTACGGCTCATATACTTATATACTCAATCATGGAGTATAGCAATATTCCATGCTTCCATTTTTTTTTAATCCCTCGCTCCATGCATCCATCCCTAATTTTGACTCTCTAGCCCCAATTGAAAAAAAATCAACAAGTAGGATCTTCCCAGTTGTTTAGCTTTTGAACTCTTACTTTCAGGACTGTTCTCCTACCTGTTCAGCCAAAATCCCCTTTTATTGGAAAACCATTCAAGAGGACCTTGCCAAATATAATACGGAAATCAGTTCTAAATTCCATTCTTCCTTTATGGGAATGCAAACCAACCTGACTGGGGTCGCCACATTCAAGGATGGGATGGTGCAAGAATTGGCCAGCTTGGTTTCCTGATCGACATTCAAACCGGCTGCCTGGAACAGATTACTCAGATCAGCCACTTTTCCTTTACGGATGGCCCGTAAGGAATGCCTCCGATAGTCATCACGAGCTTGGCGAGCCTTATGGCTCCTTTCTTCGTCTGCCGCCTTGGAACGACGTACTGCAGGCATGAAAAACAGGAAGGAAAGAAAAAAAGAATCGTAAATGTCTCCTTCATTTTGCTTCTTCCTTTGAATTACAATGGTCTATAATCAGTGGTGGGATTCAGATAGGTGAACAACCGGTTCTCTGTGTGGATGCCACTTCCGGAAGTCCCGTCTGGGCCTGGGCAACACACAATTAGCTACCGGTTCTGCCAACGTGGTGTGAACTGGCTGAATCCCAGGAATAAAACAGGGATATATGATCCCCAATAAAAATTGCAATAATCCGACTCGAAGCTTCATTTTCATTTTTCTATAGGCTGAGCTACCGTATTAAGATTTCTGCAAGAAGTCATGTTTCCCCAAAGTAAGATAAAGCTGAAAAAGCTGCTGAGTCAGGCATCAGATAAGATGGAGCTGAAGCCTCTTCAAATGGAGCTAAAGTGTCAGTCTCAATGCACAAAGACCAACAGTCTTGAAATGGTTCAAAAAAAAATAGTTAATTTCAAGCTCTGTTGCAAAGACCTCACGACAGAGTGGATGGTTAATAATCTGGGATTGTAATTGATGACAGCACCGATTGAAGAATGAGAGGAAAGGGCTTTGTAGAATGTCTTTCTTTCTTTCTTTCTTTCTTTCTTTCTTTCTTTCTTTCTTTCTTTCTTTCTTTCTTTCTTGTTCCTTCCTTTCTTTCCTTCCTTCCTTCCTTCCTGCCTTCTTTGCTTCTTTCCTTCTTTCTTTCTTTTTCTTTTTTTTTCCTTCCTTCCTTCCTTCTTTTTTCTTTTCTTTCATTTTCTTTCCTTCCTTCCTTCCTCCCTCTTTCCTCCCTCCTTCCTTCCTTCCTTCTTTTCTTTCTTTCTTTTCTTTCTTTTATTCCTTCCTCCCTCCCTCCTCCTCCTCCCTTCTTTCTTTCTTTCTTTCTTTTTCTTTCTTCTTTCTTTCTTCTTTCTTTCTTTCTTTCTCTTTCCTTCTTTCTTTCCTTCCTTCCTTTTTCTTTCTTTCCTTCCTTCCTCCTCCTCTTTCTTTCTTTCTTTCTTTCTTCTTTCTTTCTTTCACAAGCTATATCCTTTCTTTTATAAACTCAGATCTCTTCTTTCAGGCTGAATCACCTTTATTCCAGATCTTTCTACCGGCAGTCTGGATGCTGCCCACACCCTAATATCTGAAGAGGAATTGTGAGTTCAAATGTCTTTCAGTGCAGAAGAGCTATTACTCATGCTAAACTTCTCTAAATGTCCAGAAAATAAAAATTGGATAAATTCTTTCTACTTATTTTTTTTTTGTTTACTTCTTCATGTCCAGAATGAAGCATTGCATTAAAAAGCGCATAAACATTTTATTGCTCTAATTCCGTTTAACAGCCAATTTTAGGAACTGCTTTGATGTGGTATCCAGCTGCATTTTTTAAAATAAAGACATCAATGAATTCCTGCTCTTGGGGCTGAATTTGTGAAAAATTACAGCATTTGGGACAGATTAGAAGATGTTCATATGTTGCGGCTTCGTTTACTGTTTCGAAGAGCTGCGAGTCACAGGAAAACATATCATAAAAAGGTCCTTTAATATGCATTTCAATTTTTTATCATTTCCTCCA